GCAGCTTTCTACATGTTTAAAAATGTATTTGTCAGAGTTTCCCTCATCTCTCACCAGCGGGAAAGAAATGGTAGCCCCTCTGCTTGTTACCCTCCTTGACTGCCTCCTTTAGACTTGTTAGGAAGAGTGGACAGATGTGAAATGAATGAATCTGAATGGGGATTTAGGCAACTGGACTTCTCACTGGCAGAGACTGCAACCACAGTGGCACAAGTTCATGGTTCTTCAGAGCATATAGAAGGCAAGCATAAATGATTTTTTATGGATTAATAAGCAAAGTCCAAGCCCAAGCCTCTGTAGAGAAGTCAATACAATCTGTCACATTTTGGGCATGAAAAAGCTAAAGGAACACTGGCAAACACAAACAAAAAAATGCTTGCAGTTTATCTCCTAAGTGCTTACACATGAATTTTACACAGTGCAGTCTTTGCCAGGGTATCTATATCAGGAAAGTTTCTGAGGCAATACATAGTTTACCAATTCCTGCAGCTATGTAGGCGCATAGTATCTCAACACAGCACCAGCTGCACCAAAGGAAAACTCCTTTTGCACTTGCTTTTACTCACTGTGTTTTGCAGCCTAGCTGGAAAAAAAAATATGCAAAAGACCTGGTTGCAATCACCCCAAAGGCCATTTTTCATGATAAAAAAAACAGCTGGGGAAAGTGGAGCAGGTTGAGACATCAGATCTGGCAGTATGGACACATCGGGTCTGGCTCACATGTCAGGGCAGGCTCAGGCTGTGGTGGGAAGGGAGTGTGCACCCACTGCTGCCAGGTGGTTGCTAACACAAGTTTAGCTCCTGTTGGCCTTATCTTGGTTTGGACTATCAGCTACGATTTATAGTGTGCCAGGACTAGCAACAAACTCTTGGATGTGAACACATGTAGATGTTGACAGGCTGGGTTGATCCATGTACATGGGCAAGTGTTCCTCATGTTCTCTGAAAAAGCTGGGGTTCACCAAAGCTGCTGTAGGCTTTGGAAAAAACCAACCTACCCAACACACCGAACCAGGTGCTTGTCTGGGCCTGGTGCTCTGGGCATCACTTTGTCCTTTCCCCAGTGCAGCGGCATGGCTCCAGGTCGCCTAGACAGCTGTCTGGATGTGACTGGCCCAATCCAGCCTGATTTTAAGAGAACCCCAGGCCTTACCCAGACATAGGGCAGGCATCTGCCAGGACTGCAGGATCAGGCCCCAAACCCAGGAAATGAAACTTAGCTCAGTCAAAGGCAATGAGAAAAAAATGTCACCTGGAAAGAGTTAGCTGTTCAAACTGGGGGCAGGATGGAAGGGGGCTGGGGGTGCTGCTTTAATCTTTTTATGGTATAAAAATTTGGTGTCTGAAGTAAAGCCCTACTGTTTGGACTGGATGATGTTACGTAATTCTCAGAAACAAGAGCAGCTGGCTGCTGTACAGATACCTCCTAGCAAGCCCTGCAGTGCACGGCACATCATTTACCAGAGCTGTAAAAGAAAGGACGTTTATTAAGGGTCTTGGGAGTGAAATTTAACATGCTGGCATGGCTTTTAGCTGTCTGGATTTCATTTACAGCTCCTCTGTTTTATTTTCCACATAAATAAATATATAAATGAAGCCCTCTTTGTGTGCCTTCCCTAACAGTTTTTTGGCATGACTTTGAGCAAATCCAGTGCTGAGAGCCTGAGGGTCTTGATGTGAATGTTGCTAACCTTGTGGCAATGTAGCTAAACTGGCAAAGGTTGTGGCGAAATCCATGTTCAGAAGGATCTGGAAAAAGAGGACAAGTACTGAAGGTGTTAAAAAAGACCTGATTGATGATTTTTCACTCTGAGGAAAAATGAAACCAAAACAATATGCTGAGGCCACCAAATAACTTGAATTTTACAAAGATTTATGGCTATTTCCTGATCCTGCCCCTTCCTGCCTTTCATTCACCTCTCCTTGCCAGCTGCACTATCAGCTTTGCTGTTTCTTCTTGCCTTTACCACTTTTCTTTCTTTGTGTAATTTGGTGGGGGGGGAAAATCTCATATTTTTGGCAGTTGGATTCTGCTATTTAGCTACAGGACATATTTCCTTGCTGATGCAGTTGCATAAATGGACCTTGAGCTCATCCTGGTTGTCTTGCCCCTCTTTGCGCTGGTGAAAGGTGACACTCACTGCTCTTATGCAACCTGTCCTGGCTTTCCCACAGCACCCAAGTCTGACAGTGACTGCAATGTG